ATAACTTTTTGAAAAATAACTTTTCAATAAAAAATTCTACTGTTGTATGATAGAGCTGAATGTGGGTTTTTTGACGCATTCAGGAGTTACATGACCACACTGCACTTGTAAGAAAAGGACTGTCTTTACCACTTCAAACTCCATCTCAATATTTTATGCAAATGAACTATTTTTCAGAAGTACTGATCATCCATACACACAACTAAAAGAGTAAAATGCACATTTTGTGAATTTGAAAACTGTCTACACACAGTTTTCTTGATCATGCAACAGTAAAATAATCAGGACTGGCTACAAAATATAACTATTCTTTGAGGACTGTAGTGAGCAAGCATGTTGCAGACCAGTGTTTTTAATCTTATTTGGCTGTGAGGTCCCTTAGGACATTTCAAACATTTCTATAACTACATTTATTGCCTATTTTGAGGGCTTACTTTTCAAAGCATCATGCTAGCAAATGTTTAAAATTCCTGTTTGAACCTAATAATACATTGTTGAGAAATTAATTTAATGCACATATGAAACAAAAGGAGAAAAAGAAAACCTACTCTACATAACTAAAACTTTTCAAAACACAGCTAGGCAAAGCTATAGTGAAAGAAAATAGAAATGCACCTTCAGTATCCATTAAAATGAGACATCTGAATTGTATGTGAATTTTCTGTCTTATTAAAATAACACATACAAAATTAAAAACATAAATATTAATTTTATGTACCACATAAGATGAAGAAAATGAAAGAACAATGTTCACATTTATGGTTCATTAGTGTTTTATTATGTGAAACACTAGGAGGCATCAGTTGGGTAAAAAAAAGAATTCTTTTGAAATATTGCATGAAATTATCATAGAAGTTATCAGCTTTCTAGTTTCATACTTCTAAATGCTAAGGCTGTACATTACAACTAAATTATGCAAATAGGAAAAAACTCTATTCTCACTGATAAATGGCATATTTAACAATATAGGGGCAGCACAATTTCTTGGCTGTTTTCAAATCAGACTACACACATGCAACGCAAATAATAGTTTTACAGCACATTATATTTTAAAAAATAACAGAATAAAGTAAAATTCTTAAGTTGTTGTTCAATACTATAATTTTTGTTAAATCTGTGAAGCCCTGACACATTTTAGGCACTCTCCCCTGCTTGTAAGCTCTTAATATGGTTAAGTGCAGTGAATTTTGTGCAGTCCTAGAAAATTTTTAGAGCCTAGGCAGTTTTTGTAACTTTAAATTGTGATTAGAGGAAAATATCTAGACAAATATCTTTTAAAAAAAAAAAATCCAAGAACAATAATCTACCACATTTTATTTGTATTTCCCCAAAGGGGTGTATTAAGAAGTTTTTATAAAATTTGTGTAACAATGCTATAAACGGCTGTACTTCCACTATAAATCATACAAATCCAATAACATCAAAACTGAGTTTTCCTTGATTTGAATTACATTTAAAATGAGTAAGCAACAGAGTTCTAGTTGTCTCATACAATAATCACTTAAAACTGAAGTGTGTCTTGCAATGCACAGCAATCAGCTTTTATTGCTGTCCAATCAAAATGACATGTGAACTGCCTAATCCTTCTTTTGTAAGGCACATAAGACTTTGTTGTCACTATTGGTTTTGTGAATCGCTCCTATAAGCTGGTCTGATTTCCTAAAGATGACAGATCTCAGTGAATAGACAACTTCTACTGCGCTGCAGTCAATGAGACAGTGGTATTAAAGTGGAGGGCTGAAGACACTACCTTTTAATCACCTGTCCACATGTATCATTGATCATCAGTTCTAAGAAAATGACCTTAAAGCTGGTCAGAGGACTCAAGTAATTACTTCTAAAAATAATTTAAAAATTCAGTTTTTCAATTTTTCACTTGTACAATCAGTGTTTGCTGACCAAAGTTCTTCTGAAGCAGGATCCAAAATTGTATTTTCATCCTTTTCAAATATCAGAATTCTAACTCTGTTTGTTAAGCTTGAAGTTTTCTAGCTTTCAGAATTAAACATATTATTTTAAAAATATTTTGTACCTAAGTCATTACAGAGCCTAAATGAAGATATAGCAAAATCTCTCTGCTGATATCAAATAGCAAAATTAAAAAACTTAAAATGCATAAAAATATACGTGTTTTGGTTATTATTCAGGATGCTGAAGCAAGGACTATAAATTCTTGGAAATGACATAACAGCTTATGTAGATTCAGCTCCATCATCAGTGTTTTTGAAAAAATACCAATACAACTTACTTGATTTTTGTAAAAATTGTCATGCAATTTTGAATAATTATATCAAACAGATAAAAATGGACCTTAATGTATCAAACACCAAGACTTTTTTCTTTCAAGAACATAACAATTAATGACTTCTTCCTTAAAGAAATATAGAACTAACTTCAGCAGTCTCTGAAAATGAACTAAACTATCCTGATGAAAAATAATCTGTTATAGAGAAAAGTAAAATTAAAAGAAATTAAGTTGGAAAAATATTCTATTCACAACTCCTGCTCAGTTCCTAAGTTTCTATATAATTACTTTTATCTACTGAATCATGAGTTTCCAAAATATTTCTTAAGCAAACTTTTGTGACAAGTTTCAGGAAGATTAATTTCTCTTTATCTGTAACATTATAGGCATTTTTTTAAAAAAAGAACCATTTAAGAAAGGTGTCTCATTTTGAATATACATGTTGCAGGTAGATGAAATGTTTAAAAAAAGGGAAAAAAGAATTCTGGTTCCCATATTGGAAGAAAATTCACAGTAAGAAGTTATTTGAATTAATTTTCTTACTATGGTCCAAAACTAGATACTCAGGAACATAACTAAAGACTTAATCTCCCACACTATTTATCATTTAGTACCAATGTTAATAAGGCTCCTAAACTTACATTTACTTTTTTCTTTGTCAAATAATTTTAAGAGGATGCAGACAGTACCTGATTCCTGCATTCTTTTATAGGACATTGAAAGTGACATTCTTTACATCTCGGTCCTATGAAGGCTGTAGGACAGGCAAGAGGTTTAGTCTCTTTGGGTCCTGATCCTGTAAATAGTTATCCCTGTGACTTGCTCATTTTTTCACAAGTAGTCTTGGCATTGCCGGTGGGACTAGTTGCATAAGAATTCCTTGCATGAAAGAACCTTTCCATGTTCAGGTCCCAGAGCTACCTTCTCATACTATGTAGAGCATATTAGCATAAATATATATGAACAGCAAGTTTTTAAAATAAAAGTAATTACAAATCAAACAATAAACCTACTAATAAAACAAAAAACACACCACAACATCGTACAACCAGGAACATCGACACCTGGGATTAAGGGCCATTGTTTTAAATTGTTCTTCAAGAAATTTTTCTATCACTTCCAAAAGGACAGAAGTGTGGGCGGGTATTTCAGCATAGGCTCATTATGAATTATACTCATTAATACAGAAAGAATAATATAATGGATATTTTAAGAAAATTAATAAAGTAAGAAAGTTTTGTGAGTTTTGGACTTAAAGTAAGGTACTTGAAATCCTGTAAAAAAATACAGTTCAAAAAATAACAAATCCCCACAGAAACCATATGACTTAACATTTGGACTGAAAATTATTATGTGGGCAATACAGAGGTGCTGGAGTAGTGGATCACAGGTGGTACTATTTCCACACTTTGCCAAGCATCTAGGGATTAGTTATTATACTCCATATAAACATCTTTACTCTTCAAACACAATGGCCAGGAAAGTGCCAGTGAAAGAAATCTAGTCTTCTAAATGAGACGTTGCTTCTAAAATAGTTTGTTTATCATTCATCTTATAGTTATTTTAAAGTAAAGATATGAAACTAGGACATGTGCCATTAAGGTGATTGTCAGATATGTGCAAAATTTTGTGTCAAAGCTATTATTTTCTGATCATCAGCAAAGTACTGGTAAAGGGCCTTTCCCTGTTTAATTATCTTAAACCTTTAGTCTTAAATTGTCTATTACAATATTTAATTAAGTATGTAGTTATTTGGTAGTAATAATCGTAACACACAATAAAGAAAATAGAACTTTTCTATAAAAGACAATGCTTAGATACCCACGATTCATTAAGTTTTGTTTTGCACCATGCTGCATTGCTTTTTATTATTATTATTATTAGTAATAGTAGTAGCAGTAGTAGTAGTAGTAGTATTGAAACAGGATTATTAGCTTGTTTTTTATACTTGTTTTGTTTTTCAGGCTGACAGAAAGTCACACTAAGTTTTATGGGAAATAATAAGTATTCTAATTACATAATGTAACAATAATCTTACAAGTCTGTCATTTACATTAAACTTTATCTTAGCCTGTAAGTAATTGTACTGCAATTATGTCAGCTAGTTCAGTAATTCTGATTAGCTCCTTTGTGTTAAAAAATTTAAAGATAACTCAAAGTACTGTGTAAAGACCAAAGCATACTGTTCCAAAATCGGTTTGCAGACCATCACTTAAGTTCCCACATAAATGCAAGGGGTGTTTCCATCTCAAACGAAAGTAATTCAGATGAAAGATGTACAAAGTTGAACACCTTCAAGCATGCACTGCTAAAACCCAAGACTGAAGGGCGTGCGATACAACGAAGTTTAAGAGCGTTTCACTGAAACTAGATTGTTTCCCTAGTCTGATAAATCAGAGCGCAAGCACTACAAGGTCACAGCTTTTAAATCAACTAAGAGCCATCTAAATCAAATAAGCTTCCAGAAATTCATAATATCAAGCACATAAATTATGTAAACTAACTTCAAAGTCTAACACTTATGACACTGATAGAGACAAGTTCACCATAATTTACTAGACATATAACTCTTACTTGTTTAGCAAGCTACTTTTAAGCAACTGCATAGTCACACACTGAAAGTCTGCAAGCAGCCTCAATCCCAGTTCTCATAAAATGACTGATACATTCTTCAAACGCGATAGGAAATGTACCTAGGGCTTTTGTGCCATGCCCACTATATTTTATTCTGACGCTGAATTTCGCATGTACTTACGTTGTAAACGGTTAGCTGTTTGGCTGATCAGACTGGTCCTTCAGATATTTTCCTTTCATAGGAAAAAGAAAAAAATCCCTCTTCTTCTTCCAGTCTTAAATATTCACCACCTGGTTCAACATGCAGCCGCCTTGAATCACACACACAACCTTCAAAGTCAATCCAATAAGCAGCCAGAAGGTGCCTGGGGTGTGCTCGCGCGCGCGCGTGTGTCTGTCTGTGTGTCTGTGTGTCTGTGCGCGCGTGTGTGCTGCGTGGAGGAGGAGAAAGTGGCTGAGCTGCTGGTCGGATTAAAAGTAACCGGACTCGTCCTGAGATCGTCCAGGAAGGAAGTGGCAGCAGGCGAATGGGAAAAGACGAATAGCTCACAGCCTTTGAAACATCGCGGAGGGGAAGGGGGAGGCGAGAAAAGGATTGAAACTACACTCCTGATGAGGTGTCCTTTTCTGCTTCTCTCTCTTCCTCCTTTTTCTTCTCTTTCTCCGTGTCTCTATTTCTCTACCTCTCCCACAATCCCAAACGAATGACTCTCTTCTCCCGAGCTGAAGAAATAATCAGTTTCAGTCTCGCAAAAAGGGGGCGGGATCAGATTCCGAAAGCTTTTTAATAAAACAAACATAGAGCAGCAGCAGCAGCGGCAGCAGCTCCTTGCCCCTCTAGTCTAAACTAGATTGATAAATTGCTCCACTACACTACTTTAATTATGTATATGGTATGCAGAATAAATCACTGAGCATCAGCACCTCAATCAAGCACTTTTTAAATGATAATTGCATCTTGGGTGAATCAATCTTTCCATTCCTGACATTTTGCTAATTTTAGTTTTACGGTGGGGGTAATAGCATATGCCACACGCAAACCTAATGACATCCTTTATTATACAAAGCGAAGACAAGGCGGCGAGCCGGCGCGTGTTTTCCCCCTCCTGGTGAGGTACCAGAGCGTGAGGAGTGAAAGCAGGAAGGCCGCGGAACCCGGTAGGCGCGCACTGCCCGCGGCAGCGCATCTGCGGCTGGTCAGGGCCCGGCTGCAGGCACTAACCGATCTCGGCGCACTCGGGGCCTGCGGAGCCCAGGGCTCGGGACGTCTCTGCGGGTTTCATCCCCGACACCCCCAAGGCGACACCTTCCGAGTGGCTTCACCTCCGTCGGGGAGGGACGGGCACCGAGAGGGGGCAGCCGGCCCACGGCCTGCGGTGCAATCCAACCCCTGCGTCGCCTCCGGAACGCGGCAGGGCTAAGGTCCTCTGGCACTTGCCCCCGCCCCCGAGACCTCCTGCCCAGCCCCTTGGCTAGGCTCCCCCTCTCCGAGAACTGCTCCTGCTGAGCAGCCCAACTTTCCCAACTCATCCGGCTGCGCGTCCCGCGTCACGGGGAACTGCTCCGGCGCAGCGCCGGCTCAGCGGTGCTTCCCCGCGATGAGCAGCGGCCAGATCCGGGCCCGCTCGCCTCCTCAAGCAGGTCCCGGCCACGGGAAGCTGCCGGAGACGGTCTCGTGTCGGACTTACCTGCAGAAATGCAGCACTGAGAGCACACTGTGTGTGGACAGAGCTTTATTTTTTTTAATAGGTTCAGTCGCTTCTAAAACTGGACTGAAAGGACTGCACTGTGAGTTTGAATCCAGATTAAGCACGTGCAGTGATTTGAGTAAAATTGGATCTTGCATATACTTTAAAAATTTTTATGCGGATAGCCAACTTTTATGATCCTTTGGGAGGAGCAGGGCAGTTTGTAAAGACACAGAGTATTATTTTTATGATAGATTAAGGTACTGGAAATAGGAACATCACACGTGAAAAAACCAAACGACTGAATTCAAACACAGCGATAAATATATATTTGGGTTATTTTAATACAAGTCCTTGGTCTCACAGTCTTTTCCCCTAGAAACTTCTCATTGGGCCACTGACCTACTTCCAAAGCATTTGACAGTGAATAAATACCTTTTCAGTTCAACTGTACTCTTTAAATCACGGATGCTCAAAGCGCAGTCAGACCAAAACAAAGCTCAGGTAGTTCTAACAAGCACCCTACAATTGCTCACAATGCAAATCCTTAGAGAATGCTGCGGGTCTCATCCATGTCCTGATCTGTCTGGGTGAGAGTGACATGCTACAAATGTACCCACACCAATAACGACAGTGCTGCTGATGTGCCAGAGCCACCAGGCAATCAGGTACAAGTGAAGCACATTGTACACTGTGGTAAGAGACACATATGCACGGCAGTGTTAACACAGCCTGAAAAACATTGGGAAAGAAATACTTTCTCAGCTTCAGGTCTGCTGTGAAGCACAGCAGGAAAGACATACAGAACAGTTACACAGGTTGTACCCTTGCTATGCCTCTTCCACAGACAATTTTGGTCTCCCAGTGTGGCATCCAACTATCCAGTAATATTTGTACATTCTTAGTGGCAAAAATTAGAAAATTATGTTAAGACTTGACACGTTTGTGCTCTAACTGAAAATGACTGGCATCTGCTTTATTTTGTGCAGGATGTGTAAGTTTTCTGGTGTCTGGTTAGTTGGTAACACAGCCCTTCAACGGGCAAGACAGAATGTGAGCTCTGTCCTATTTTGAAAGTAGTTATTACAGTAAGCAAATATTTCAGAAAATAAAAGTATACAGCAGTTCAGAACCTCAACTACACCTCCATGTGGGCACCTGTGGTCTAATCTTTTAATAGTTGTGACCTTCACATACTGGAGCACCTTAAAGCCATGCCAAATTTTTGTCACAAGCACAGTTAATCAAATCCATGTAAAGGATATCTTGATTCTTACAACAGGATTCGGATGCCAGATGGACAAACAGATATAAGGGGAGGGATCAGGATCTGTGACTCGTTTTAGGGTTAGAAAAGGCATGAACTTATGCAGAGTAGTTTGAAGTGTTTGAGTGGTTTTTTTTCCCTCTCTCTGGGTTTAATTTAAAAACCTGAAATAATTTCAAACCGTAGAAAAACCTTTGTTCTGATGTCTCTACATGTACTGAATCTCCATGAATGTACCCTTTTCAAATTTCTGGCACAAGAAATTTCTGTGGACAGCTTTTCTCCTGTCCACAGTCCATGTATAGATCTGCTGACAATTTTTTTCCCCCCAATCTACCACCTGAGGCATGCAGTGTCTTAAACCATGAGACATCAATCATAATGTAATAATTATAAAATCAGATCTCCAAATGTTTATTAAAGAGTGTATCCAAGTATCTCTTTCCATTACAAGTGTGATTACTTCAAGGTAACATTTCCTTTGAAGATGATTATCGAAGTATATTTTTGTTCTTTTGTGGATGCAAAACATATTTTTCCCTTAGGAGAAACAAGATTGCCAACTTACGTCCTTTAATGGTATTTAAACTGAAAAGCAGTGATATTACTATGTAATTACCCATCTCCTTGAGCATCTTAACCCTGGGCTAGCTTGGTTTCTGTTTTCTGTTTAAAGTTCTGCTAAAACCCATTCCACTCTACACCTTGCTTTCTTCCACCACCTCCCTATTTGTAAGAGCAACACAGTATAACTCTTCTTCCCATGTCTGGCTGCTTTTAAACTTGGCCCACGCTGGGTGCAGCTCTTGAAGAGAGCTTTATGAAATTATTTTAAAGTGAGCTGGGGCGGTTGCCACAGCAACCCACCCTGAGAGAAATTGAGGCTATAGATTAATCTACCCCACAAGATTATTCAACAGTACTGTATTTGTTCTTCATTCTTTCATAATAGTCCCTCAAACCATATGCTTTTATAATGAACAAAAATATATAAACTCAGATAATTTCAGAGATAGCAGGGTTGTGTTCCATGAGCACAAATTAATTGCTTTGTAAACCTCTGCAATGAGATAACACGTACATGATTCTTTGCAAAATTGTTTAATTGCAAAAAAATATATCTGCAAGGTATGCATTGCTGACATATTAACTTTAAATAAAATGGCATGCCATTACTAAAATGGTGTTATCATCACCACATCATGCAATGATTACAGAAAGACTTTGTCACAGGTGTACCCATAAGTATTTTACGCCGTAGAGTTTTGCTCTCCAGGTTTTGCTTTGAGCAAAAATCTAAAAATAGTAAATAGTACTTGGTGATATTTAATGTAAAAAATATTAAACACTCACCACATACACCCTCTTTATTGTCAAAATCATCCGCCTCCAATGCTTTACTTAATCTTTCTCATGGTGTAGTTACTTCACAGTTTACAATTCTTGTTCGGCACCTTGGATGTTTAAAAGCACAAAAGTAGCATATTATTAAAATTCAAACCTCCAAATTTTAGGAGATTAATGAAGTAATTTCCATAAAAAGAATATGAATCTTTACTGATTTGCACTTAGGCCTATCTTGTAAGTAGCTTGATGTTTTCAGAAGCTGTTATAAACTCCATCTAAATCCTACCTTAGGGATGCTACACTATCAGTAAAATTACAAAACTGTTGATCACAGGCTGTACTTATCCTCCAGTTGATATTTATACTTTGACATGTATTTTGGAAAACACAGCCATCTCATTGTTTCATAAATGCCTGTTTAAAAGGCCAGGGTGAAATACAAAGTGGTAAAATTCAGCATATAATTTTGTTCCTTCTATAAAGGGCAGGTGTGTGTGGTGCCAACACCAGACATGCATCTCCTTGGGCCTTCTTTGAGGAAGGCAACCAGGTAGCACCAGCAGAACATTTTTTTACCCCAAATATTAGTTTTTCTCTGCACATGTAGTTGTGGAGAGGGGGGTCCCAACTGGAACAACTTGGTTTTGAGGGGCAACCTTTCTGGCCTCTGCCCTAACCCCTTGCACCTGCACACATCTTTACCCGGGCTTCTCATCGTTTATTTATTGACTCATAATTTCTACGTGCTGGGCTGTCCCTCCGGGTGAGGTGGTCGGGAGTCACAGCAGGAGTAAGTACGACACTGGCCCCATCTCTTCCTGCTCCGCGGATCTGGCAGGGCCGGGCGAGGCAGCGAGTGACAGCGGGTCCCGGGTCGCGCCGGCGCTGCCGGGGCTGCAGCCGCCGCCCTTTCCTCGTCCCCGTTCTGACGGGAAGACGCTGGGGCGATGTAAAGCCGGCCGGGCAGTGGCTGTTCTAATGCAGCTATGGCTGTGTGGGACTGGCCGGGAGTAGCGAAGGGTTGGGAAGTCCAGACCAAAGGCTGGCTGTGAGGAGGCTGGAAGCAGAGCTCTGCCCCGCGTCCCCAGGCAGAACTGCCCTCATTGGGCCCCTCCGGAGCCTGTTCAGAGCCTTTGCCCACGGCTCCGACCTTTGCAACAAGCGGATGTCCCCACTATGGCAGGCTCTGCAGTGCCAGCAGAACCCGGGCTGCCAATCCTGTCAGCTCAGGGCCAGGATGGAGCCGTGGGAGGGTAGGTGGTGGGGGGTCGGAGCTAAGGTCCCGGGGCTTCAGAGAGGGCTGGAGTGGCCAAACACGTAGGGCCAGGCTTGAGAAGCTCCAGCAGCGCATGACAGTCCTGTGAAGGGGACAGATCGGTGTCCAGCTGGCTGGTATTGAAGCCGTGGAGTGAAATTAGATGAGGGGCTTGGAGTTCGACTAACGCAGGATATTATCTGTTAGTTTCCAGCCTTTTGGAAAGATATTTTTTCAATTCACCACTTCCCCTCTCCTCCCGACACCGCCCTTTTTTTTTTTTTTTTTTGGATCAAGAGATTTTTTTTTTATGCTCCCCTGCTGATACTTTCAAGGGCCTTTGCAGGGAAGAGATTGATTTTAGAGGAAAAAAGGTTGCCAAATGCGTTAAGTCAACAATGAAAAGGGGGTTTGTTTGTTTTGCTAAATTGATCCTGTTCTAGTAATCTGCAGTGTTTCATTGTTACTAAAGGCAGCTTCTTAAACTGTAATTCACAAGTTGCTATTGTCCTTTAAATATCTCACAAACAGCTGCCCAAAGATATTTCTTTTATCCAAGACATTTTTTAATTGTCATTTTTTAAAAACTGTTTTCAGTCTAGAGATAGGAGATAACTTCTTCAAAGACAAATACATTTTCTTTCAAAGATTACACATTACTAAATTTGTCCTAAAGAGTATAAAAATAAAATAAATACTATAAAAACAGTATTACAAAATAGTATTTATCACTTTGTGAATGACAATGCAGAGTGATATTAGAATTAAATCTATGTCTACTCTTGCCGCACATGCATTTTAGAAATAAGTAATTCTTAAGGTATGTATCTTTTAAAAATTATTCTTCAAAATGAGACTGAAATGGCATCTGAAAGAGGTTAATAGATATAGAAATCCCAGATCTCCTGCTTAGTGTGGAACATGGATGCTGTGGAGCAGCATATGGCATGTCCAAAGTCCCTTGAACTCTGTTGAAATTCAGTGTACTCTGACAGGCTGAGATGAGATACTAAAATGGAAGCTCAGCCCTATGTCACTGGCCACCCAGATCCAACTTCTACCTCCAGATTAGTCTTTGGGTATGCTCTAAGTCCAGTTCCTGTACCAGCCATCTGTAAGTAATGCAAATGTACTTATCATGGTATGCCAATGTTCCACCAAATGTATAGAGTTTATATGTACACATATGCATTTTAGGGGTGTAACTCTTGTAGCCCATGATCTTACTTAAGTGTAAATATAGGAAGAATTTAACCTACTAACCTCTCCCTCGCCGAAGTTTAACTCCAAAAGTGTGTGTCTAGGCTTGCCTGAAAGAAATGCACCTAGGGTTTTGAAGATTTTCAGTGCTAGTAAGAAATTGGCAAGCAAAACTTTAGTCTCAGACAAACTCAAATCTCAGTAACTAGTTTCAATTCTACTTCCCTTCCCCAGTCTCTTCTGACATAAAGTTAATTAGGTAAAATTTTGAGCTAAATGGGATTTTTTTTCCCCTTATGCAAAAATACAAAAATAGATCAAATATGAACTTAGAGTGGAAATTTGGAATCAATTCCCCATCTTAATAGGGTTTAAGTACAGGAATGTATTTGAAGAATAATTTTGGAAATGCTGTCATTTTCATGAACTGGTGCTCATGTCTATAATTCTGCGTCTTCCTATGCAGAAGCGTCAGATTTTTTTTCCAAAGTAAAGCATTTGGTGGAAGTGTAATCTACTGTGTGGTCTAATACATCTGTGATTAAAGACTATCTAGATTGTTAAACAGCTTTCACCCAAGAAATACAGTATCTTTACTATTCAACTCAATTGCTAATGTAGAAGAGCTATCTCTCACAGCTTCTAGAATTGATGCAGAGGAAGATAACTTTGTATTTCTTTGTTAATTTATGCAGTCTTTAGAAGTCTTAAACCTCTGTATAATTAGCTGGGTATTTCTAAAGAAGTTCCTGCTAGTGCAGCTCCTTCTACTTATCTCTGAGAGGAAAGGCTTCCATAAATTGTTTCAGAATTAGCATCTAAATAAGGAGCACACTTTTAATTCCTTCTACCACATTTATTTGCCCATGTGATTGCCTGCCCTGAATAAGGAGGATCTCTCTGTGATTCACTTTCATTTTGGGAAAAGCTGGGAGAGAACTAGGAAAATATTTTTTTAGGTTGCACATTCCTTCTCTTTTCAAGAAATGGAATTGCCTGACTAAGGTATTGTGATATTTTCAGATATTTTGACAAAAAATGCACAGCCTAAAACAAAAAAATATGATTATTAAAATATGACCCCCTTGCTAATTGTGTGACACTCAAGCTTTTTTCTATCTTGCACTGAGTGATGATGTGATACAGAAGCAGACAGCCATAAATGGCCAGAAAAGGCTTAATTAAGTATTCTGCAGCTGCTATAAATTAGATCAGCATCTGCATCTGTGTAGACAAAGAAATTCATGGTAATTTTGAGGGCCAAGCAAAGTGGAGGTTTGTTTTGGATGGACGCCTAGCCACAATTCAAGCAAAATTCAGACTCAAACATGTTGTAAGGGGGAAAAAAAGGTTGGTCAACTTCATCTTCTGTTGCTGAAATCTACTATGGTTTCCCATTCTGGCTTTAGATGTTATTTCAATGTCACACATGAAAGGCATCTCTTAAAGTATTCAAAATTTGGGTTTTTTCCCCTAAAAAATAATTCTCATGGGTTTTCCAGATTAGACTTTGAGCTATATTTTGGATAAGCAACCAGCTTTTTGCTGTTTTCTGACAATATGCCTCTATTTCAGATTTCATACCACTTTCTGGAACTAAAATAGGAGTAAATGATGAACAAATGTTAATGGTCAATGATCCGACCTGTTCTAATAGCAATGTTTACACCATAAATTGAATATAGAATGCAAGAGTGATAGATTAATATCTGGAATGAGAGTATGAAGGTATCACTCTCAAACTTTTTTATACAGATTTGCTTGCATGCATATATCTGTATATTGCGTGCAAGAACTAATAGGTTATTCTGTGGACATTTTGACAAAATGCACTGGTTTTTGGTGTTTTCAAACTCTTCTAAATTCATGGTTTTGTTTTTTGTTTGAACAGCTCCAAACACAAGTGTTGATTTATAAATATGTCTTCTAAGTGCTGCTGTAATACTAGATCTCTGTTGTAAAAACAATAATTAATACAAGTATTTCATTAGATGATTTAGAGAGGCCTTTTGAAAGTTGACAGTTCTTCTTGATAAGTGAAGAACTCTTAATTTCTGTGACCATAAATGTAATTGCACAATAGTTGGGTCAACTTTTAGACATGATTATGCCACTTATGTTAATCTATTTAAACCTTCCATTAGCATCCTGCTGTGGGGTTTTAACTCTTCCCATGAAAGTACTTTAAAAAATTGACATTATTGATGTTAAAAGGAAAGTAGGCCTCTGGTCATGTTTAGATTTGTACTTTGGTTTGGATATATTTGATCTGAAATCATTGTTACTGCCATATGATCTAGTCTGATCTTCTTTGTACAGCTCCTGTATGATGCGCAGATTTAAGTTCCCATTTCTGGTCTGTTATGTTATTGCAAATTTGCACCAATCAGAGCAGCAAGTTTTGATTTCAGCAATGACTTTACAGATAGCTACCCTAACATGGCTAAAGGATAAGAAATCTGATTACTAAATTGAAGTTCCTTTGACTGGAAATTATTATTCTTTTCAAGCAACTAAAAACCATATAGAGACAACTTCATGGTTTTCCTTTTTTTGTCAAAAAGTTCAATTGACTTTATGCAAATACCTATTGAAGCTTCTTGAACTGACCTAATACATTTTTAGCCTTTTTTTTTAGACTCTCAGTAACAAATAAATATGTTATGGTGACTCTTCTATTTGTCTTTATATTTTAAATCTACAGCTGTTGGAATTTCTGTGCTATAAAACCTCTTTACCTCTGGATGTGATTGAGTTGTTTTCTTTGCTGTTGCTCAGCTAAAAGGGCAAGAGCTGGGGAACAGGTACATGTTTTCTAGGTCCTAAGTGAGACTGAAGGATCTTTTTGTGGTCTACATGTTCATATAGGGGAAGATAAGACAATAGGAATATGGGCAGAAATAATTCAAGAGGACTGTTGCTAGTGGGGATAAACGGGTTAAGAATTTTTGGATTAAACTGAGATTCAGTGAGGAGTTCCCACATCCTTTTTGCAGATTAAACCTAGCAGTTGGGAAGCTACTGAAAGAATGCTTTTTCCCAGGAACAAAGAAACCAAGTGCTTCTTTACCCTAAGTGGAAACCAGTTCCCTTGTATTTCTGTGGAAGAATGCAAGCCTAAGTTTCATTTCAGTGAGACTGAGATGCAGTATTAAATGGCTAATGCGTTCAGTTAGTGCAAGGACACATAATTAAATGGACAGATTTTTTTTTTTTTTTGCAAGAGTAGGAACAATCTCTTGATATACAAGTAGACTGTTTCACAGTCTCTTCTATTCTTCTCAGTGTCAATATACTCTTTTAGAATTACTGCACACAATAATAATTTGTTATTACCAAGCATTCTTTCTACAATAATTTTAAATTTAGGAGATGGATTGATACTAGAGAAAGAACAATTTGCATATAGTCATATAGGGCTTTAAAAAGTGAAGGAAAAGAATGAATGCTGCAGGTAACTACAGCAAAAATTATAGGAAGCACCCATTTTGTGTACTTCTGTATTGTTATTTTTATAATAATAAAAGAAAGTAGAGAGAAATTATAATTATTGGGGGAGAGGTTTATTTTGTTAAAAAAAGAGTCAAAACAGAAGATAAAATGTAGTGACCCATAAACAGAAATGTTTGATTTGCAGGATAAAGCCTTAGCACATTGGTATCATACTATTCAGCCTTTAACGTTTTTGCCCTGACAGATGTTTTAGGATACAGTGCATCAGCTACATTAACATTAGATTGCACTTCATATGCCATAAGTAGAACTTTTAAGTATGTATATAGAACTAGTAATGCTATATAGCTATATTTATGAACAAAACTGTAATTGTTTCATTCATTCTCTAATTTTATTAATTTTTATTATTTTTTGCCTATGCAATTATTTTACATCTTCCAGTAAACTTGTGTATATTAGCTTAAATTTAGATGTTTATTCTTTGCAATCTGCATTTATTGAACTTGATTTAGAATCCAGTGCCTTTAGAGTTATGCATAGAAAGCACTGTGCTTTTGTCTTTATTGAAGATTTCTTAAGTGGTGCTTTCAGAGCTTGTCTCATAATGTTTAGTTGCTTTCAAAGGAACAAACCCATATCTGACCATGCAATAAATTGTCAGCACTTTAATTGAAAAGGACCACTACCACTGACAAGCAGTTTTTGTGCCCGTACATTGTGACAAGGGGTACACATTGAGACCTGTCCTTGTTAGCTAGTTTATGGTGAATGTAGAGTGAAACAGCATTTTTGAAATGGAATGAGGGTGGAGCTCCAGCAGTCATTGAGAGTGGTGTGTGAGTGTGTCTTCACTTGGGAATCAGCCACAGTGGCATGCAGGGGTGGGGAGCAGCTGCAAAGCCATCCATTTGCAGCCACCAGGACATACAGAGACATGGAGCCGTCAGGCAAGGCTCCAAGTGGCTCTCTACATTGCCAGCAGACTGACAAAGAGGGGAGTTCTCCACTACTCCTAACGGTAGTCTGATCTTTTGATTTCCATGGCGACTGTCTCAGACCAATAACCAATTAAATTCTGAACAAAACCATTAATTAATGAAAGTCCAAGAAGAAAGTTATATGCCTTTTTTAGAATAAGTTTTGCCTACTGTACCAAGGGGAAAAAAGAGATAAATTTAAAGTATATATATACATTCATATATATATTTGTACATACACACACTTTATATGTGCAGGTATATGTGTGTGTATGTATATATATATATATATATATGTGTGTGTGTGTGTGTGTATGTGTGTATAAATATGCACATACACTTTGAAATAGAAGCATAAAATGGAAAATTTTTAAGTTTAAAGTACTCTTATATCAAGCTGCAATTACAGCTATTCATTCTGTTTCCCCACTGAATTTTTTCATGCATCTCATCTTATCTAACTTTTATATGCAACTTCACTGCCTTCAGTGGAAAGTGTCCAGTTTTTACCAGTGTAAGTGAAAGTAGAAAGTTATGAGATGCTTCTAAAATACGATGTAACAGTATATGAAAAAAACTGAATTAACTTTTGAAGAACACAATCCAGATTGTGCATCTCATAAATTGAGATTTTTACCAAAGTTTTGTGGTTAAATCCCATTTTTTATTTACATGCATTATGGAAAAACTAATACAGATATCCTCCTTTCACTAAAAATTGGATTTACTGGAAAAGATTAAAAAAAAAAAAAAAAGTTGTAGAATAAATTGCCATAATTTACAAAATTAACCACAGAGGTCTTAGTTAATAGGGAATAGTTGGTACAAAAATAAAAGAATGAACCAGGCATTTTAGGGGTGATTCTCTTTCTAACTGAAATAGTTATAAAGTTTCAGTGCATTCAATTAGGTTTTTCTATTTCTTAATCTCTCAATATTTCATTAATAACAGAAATATTTCAGAATTTCACTTAATGTGCTGAAATCTGTTGATGAAAAATAAGAAACCAGAAAGATCAATTAAGGGTACTCATTTAAATTTAATGGTCTAAATTATCTAGTGAGTAATCTCTATATTTTGAAACATTAAACAGTCTTTTTCTAGAAAAAGAAAGCATCTTAACTTCCATTTCACAAACTAATTTTTCCCTCAGTGCAGTGAAATATAGAACTAACTTCACTGGAATTTAATGAAATTATCCAGGAGTTTGTTACATTGATTATTGTTTCCAAGCCTTTAAAATCAATACAGCAAAATGCTGATGAACCTAGAGTGTGCAGAACTAAAGGCTCTAAACTGCAGGCTGTATGTTTTTTCTTGTTTTGTGTGGCATGAACAATGTCTAGCTAGTTTCAGGAATTGCTATTATTATTTACTGACTTTGCATTTAACAGTGATTTGTTTTAATGACTAGTGGATTTGATTTCCATACATTACATATTATCTATGAAAGAGCAGAGTTTTATAGACATTGCTCATTTTAAAGGCAGCTCTAGTTTTCGGGGTTTTGTTTATTCTATATTTCATACTTGATCAGAAAATATATCTTTAATATTTAGAAGTATACTTTATGCTTTGACTAGTAGTGTTTTATCCTATTGGCCTTTTATTCTCACCTAGAGCAGGATATCTTTGCAGCAAACAAATATGTGATTATTTTCATATAGCACATTCCAAAACCAGAAATAATGTCTTCTCCACTTCCTTGCCTCTGAAAATGAAGAAAATGGATGACAATTGTGCCTGATCTACCTCTGCTGAGGTAGGACCTCCCTGTCAGGGTTCCACACCAAGCAGCCTAGCAGAAACAAAATCAAAGATCAGGGATGTTTAAAAGAGCATTGTTATTCAGGTATTATTATTCAGCCTAATCTTGGACTACTCATTGCTGATGTATCATTTATTTTGATATGTGGGGAAGCTCTACTACAGAAATAGTCTAACAGTATATTGACATATGATTCCTTTTTCTCCCCCATTAGTTCTTCTATGCTGTGCAGTGGCTTGCAACTATGGAATCTGTTTACTGAAAAAGATTCGTATGGTTAAGTTTTCTGTCTGTTTATTCACTTAAATAAATGTTTTCAATTTAACACAGCAATTTGTAATGAATACTGTGAAACAGTTGAAAGAATGAGTTCTTGAAATAGAAAAAATAATAAAAAAATGCTTTTCTCCTCTCAAAAAAATATTTATTTTAACATGTGGTCATATTTTCCTGAATTTTTACATTAATTGAAATCTTATTGGTCTAGAAAAGAAAAAAAAAAAAAAAAAATTTAGAAAAAAAAAAAAACCTAAAACATTTTGGCAAGAATGGGGAAGAAAGGAAGAAGAAAGTGTTTATTAAATGCCTGATGAACAGTTGGAAAACTTTAGATCTGATTTCATTCAAAATTCTTGTATAAGTAAGTGCAGTTTATCCCCCCATCTTCTAATTTTCCAGTTCTTATGCAAATTAGGGAATAAACACACAGGCATGATTTGTGGTTTTAAAACAAGGGAATGTGTAAATTCAGGATGTTTTTAAAAAGCACCGTGTCAAGCACTGCTCTCACGGAGCCTGTAACTTACAATTTACATTTCACTTTAGTACAAGGCAACAGATTTGCATGATAAACCTTTGATTGTTTTGTAAAATGCTCTAAACAGTGTTAATTTCACTCGTTTATTACAAAGGAAACTTAGTTGATGTTCAGAAGGAATTTCTAAGCCTTAGAATGACTGCTAAAGTTGCAAATACTGAGCAGTCTACAGACAACAAATCCTTTTGATTTGTTTGGAAATTACCAGGATAACTCATTTTTTTTAAAGGATGCAGATGGAGAGCACAGAGCACACCCTCAGCCAGCACCATCTAGCATGCTGTTCCTGCATGAAATCCTCTATTTTTTTTTCCATTGAGAATCATAGAAACAGTGGAAAGAAAGTGATTATAAATATCCAGTCAGTTTTTTAAAACTTTTCTTGGCAACAGAAGATAAAATCAAGCGCTGTATCAAGTTAGGTACAAATGCATGCTACAAAGCTATCTGTTTTCTCTTGAACAAAGCTTTGTGAGAGTAACCATGAGCCTGGAGCTGAATCTCTCAGTGCCGTGGTAAGCAGAACATTCCAGAGACATAAGAATAGTTATTTAATATTTTTTTTTCTATTAAAACTCACCAGTGCCCTTCTTCTGCTTCTCCAGGAAGTTGTACCCGTCAGCACCTGCTGAGGGCTTTGTGGATCAAAAAAATCAGGTAAAAAATTTCCTGTAGAATAAAGCCAGACCAGCTGGCTTTGAAGAGAAGCCCCCCAGTTTGGGTTGTGTTTGCCTCACTCACCCTCTGCTCTGCAGACCCAGGCTTTTTCTCCTTTGGATGTTGACCTGTAGGCTGTGTGATGTGTGTGCACAAGTGTCTGGCAGGCCAAGGTGCACCTGCTTCTGTCACTCCTGAGTAAATTTAGCTGTAAAAGATATCACTGACAAGCAGACCTTTGTCAGTGCTGGCAAATGAACAGAGTATTGCCATCCCCCTTCAAAAGTACTCTGCAAGTTCAAATGGAAAATATCTACTCGGTTGTCTTATCCAGTATCCAGGAATCACCTCTTCAAGAGCAATGAAGGCCAAGAGGCTTGTGTGTGGCAAAAAAAAAAAAAAAATCTCTTCCTTTAAATAGATGTTAAAATGACATTATTTCAAGAAGAATCTATGAACAAGATGAGGCTGTGTTGTCTTAATTGTGGCTGGAAGAAAACTTTTTTAAAACAGGAACACAGCACACAGAAATTTAAATTCAGGTTGTTAAATTGTGCTAACTGTTAAAGTTGATTATCTTTCGCTTCCATAATTCATTGTGCTTTTTATCCAAAAAATATTACAAAACTTAAACACATCACATAGAAGGTAATCTCATTTCCAAAATTAAAAAGCATGCAGAATTGAGAGTCTGAATTTCAAAATCACATGTGTGTAGCACTTATGCTGTCATAGTCTAGGAACCAGCCACTTTTAAAATGGGTCCTAAAGTAAATGGAGGGTCTTTTGAGGGAAGTGATCAAAACTCGGCATTCTTATCCTTATGGATGTGTTATGGGTAGAAATTGATCCAGCAAATTTAATAAAAATAAAAATAGAATTTATTCACGACCAATATACAGTTTTGACCGCCAACAATCAAAAAGTAGCGCCGACTCCGGGATCGGAGCGGGTGAACTATGATCTGGCCTCTATCGCACTGAATCCCCCTGTTCACCATCGAGACCCAGCAGAGTTCGGTTTTTATACTCCTTTTCTTGCCCGTGGCAGAGTCCCTTTGTTTCCTCCTGGAGTTCTTCATATTCATGCAGTGTCTATTCACTATCCCATATTGGACAAAGCCACATCCGGGAATCGATGTGTATTGGACCCCAGTTCCCAGAATCTTTCATTCGGATGTATGTCCTAGATGGTCCTGTCTGTCTGAGGTGGACATCTACACGGGCCACCATCGCTGGGTGTTCTCGTGGTCGTGCCATTGGGGAATGCTCATCTCCTGTGCGAACTAGGTTTTCTTCGTATGTTAATGATGTACCTCCTCCTCGGCTGCAAGCTGTCCTGTGTGGCAATCCCCCCCTCCCCTCCACTAGCATGATCTTACAGATTTACCTTATATCATATTAATAAACCTATATTTCCAGCACGAATTATCCCCTTATCTATAACAGATATTTATAATTTATTTTTAATAAGGGTATTTATAATTTATATCTGCCCCTTGCTTTTTTTTTTTTTTTTTTTTTTTTTTTTCCTGGAGAAGGATCCAGGTAATTGAAAGAGAAAGGTGTAATTTACAGCTGTGTGTCTTCTCACAGAATTAAAAAAAGGGTCACCAGTATAGGTGCCAGGATTGGTAGCAACAATCCTAGATACTCCATTTTCCACTTGAAAACTAGGCCATAAACTCAAGTGGCTTTAAAGAAAAAAATTCAATAATGTCTACTTTGCTCTAATATGCTATTTAGAGGGAGCAAAATGTTCCTTTCTAACAAATGAGGCAAAAATTGCAGACCAGGAGCTTTTTGTAAGATAAACAAGGTTCCTATTTGCTTACTTGTATAAACAACCACTCACCAAGCTTTATGTCTCTGCAGGGGCACCCTTTCAGATAGGAACATGGACCTTATTGGCATCATCTTGTATCCATGGAAACACTTTAAGTACCGCTCTCTCAATATGTACTTCACTTATTCAGGGTTCAAGAGCTGAGCACCAAATAATTAAGTGTATTTATTATTTTCTATGTGGAAGCTTGGTTCTTGGGGCTTGTATCTGTCATAATAAGATCTTGTACTTTCATAATATTTGATAAAATCAAGTGTTTCATTTCAAGCCTTCTATCCACTCTATTCTTAGATTAAAATTAATGTTCTAAAAGTCCTGATGAATTCAAATTCTGAAACTTCTCATTACCCTTTACTATTTGTAAAACAATGATCGTAGTTCACATTACCATCAGACTTAATCGCTGTTCTTATTGCATTAAACTAGTCTGCTTTTCTGTATTTCTGAAAAAAGAAACAGGAAAACATTGATAATAAATCAGTTTTCTCTTTTTAACAACCGTTCTCACTCAGGTGACTATGTAGTAGGTCACAGAAGTTGAGAGCTTAACAATTGTCTTGAAACTGAAAAAAAAGGATGAAAATAAAGGAGCTTATTCTGGGTTTTTACCCAGAAATTACTGGAAAGCAAAATAATTATTTTTCTTTTAATATGTGTCTGCCACACTACTTAGTTAAAATATCAAAGCTGTAGATATAGAGCTAAGAGAAATAAGGGATTTTATTGCTATTTCCATGCAGAAAAATAAACACTGGCATGAACTACATTTATTTTCAAAGCTATCATTCTGAAGAAGATCCTTTGCAGATAAAATGTAGTTATTTCAATATTATCTTGGCTCAAATTCAAAACTCTCTCATAATTCCACCTATTAATTGGTACAACTGATGCACATTTTTAATGTACTGTGATTTAAAATATATGAAAATTAGTTATTGCTATCCATTAGTTAATGTCTTTTATGTAATTTTTAAAAATCCTGCCCTAATTTTGTTTATAAAAGGTATTTTCTTCAGCTGAGCTGGGCTGAAACAATGAAATACCTTGTTAATTACAGCTGCTATCAGAAAAACACATTTCTGTCTGTAAAGATCCAGTACTTCTCTCTGAAATGCTACTGCTTTAGAGCCTAGGTTTGCTAAGTATATATCCCTGCATATTATTTTCATTTACTACTGTTACTGTTCTTATTTGCCATGTTGTGTCCATAGCACAGTTCCTGATGAGTGCTGATGGCACAAATGATTTGTCCACTGATTAGGCTGGAACAGTATTTGTGTAGAAATTCTGTAAAACTTTGATATGTGACAAAAATTGTTACCTTTTTGCATGCCAGATTCTCTATATTAGGTTTATACTTTTATTTATGGATATTATGGATATCTGTTCACAAATGTGTAATAATTTTATTTAAAAAGTACAATCATAGTGTAGGCAAGTTGGAGCTGCCTGACCCCCTGTGAAAGCCTCTGCCTCTTTGCTCTGCAGATTGCCACATGAGACCTAGGATTGTGATTGCTCTCAGGAACTTTTACTCTGAGCCAACTAAGCATATCAGAAAGGTGAAACTTTCAGCCTCCACAGAAGGAAGCAGTGCACATGGCAGTTTTTTCATTTCCCTTTCATCGTGTCCCTGACCTTGCTACAAGGTCAAGGTTGCTGGGGTACTAAATGGGGAAGTAGAAAAATAATCTAATCTCAACTCAGCCCTCTATGTGTTCAGCCTATGGAACTTCTGACCTTGCTTATCATCCTGAAAAAAAATAAATTCAGCTATATTCTTGAAGGATTGCTCTGGTGCATTGCAAACTGCAGCGAAAGCTGGTCTTGACTTTGCTGTTTTGAAATGATGAAACCAAGATTGGCCCTGTTGACTGTGTAACTGGTAAAAAATCCAATCCTTCCTAACCACAGACCATGGGGAGAAAAAGGAATGAGGAAAATTGGTAGTTGTATCTCTTGGGCACATAAATCTTCAGTTAAGTAATATGTTCTCAGCTTTATGATTTTTAGCTTTTTAATCCAAGATGTCTTTTTTTTTTTTTTTTTTTTTTCCTAGCATTTTTTAAAAAAATCCTTTCCAAAAACTAACTCATAGCATTTGTTAAAGAATCACTTCCAAAATGCTAGAAAGTCAGCCTGAGCATATTGCAGATAAAATCTGTCTCCCTTCTCCATCACGCAAAATAGAGATTCAACATTTGGCCTATATTCAGTTTTTCAGGTGCTAAAAAGCTATGACGAAACTGCACAGATCGTATGATAATGGGCATATTATACAACTCTAGATCATCATATGCCTAACTTATTATTACTATTTTAGTTTTCTGCAGATCACTTTTCTAGTACCATCAGCTTAGGCATACTTCAGAAAAATAAAGACTCATTGAATGGTTTTTGAATTTATAGATAAAATACAAATAAGTAGGGAAAAAATCCAGGATAAAATTTTAAGAATATGACAAAGGAGCAGGTAGTATTTCTGTAAAAAAAAGAGTGAGCTGAATTACGTGAAGACTGTTATGGACCATCAGCAGAACAAAATGTAGACAAGGAATTCTCCAAGGAGTAAAATAACCTCCACTTATTTTTGAGCTATCAGAGCAAAAACAGGCCATAAATTCTGAACCTTCCATGCCTGAAGCATACCCAAATGAAAAGGACTGAGAAAGAAATCTGACGGACTGAAAACCAGCTATGTTTGAGGAACTTGTTCTCAAGAAAATTGGTTAAAATTTGGGCTAGAAAAGGTGTGGGAGTCTGTTTCCACCGGTAGGAGCAGAGATTTTCCAGGAAGGAATTACAAAGTTACAGTAGTAAGGTGATGGAATGTGAAAGTCCCTGTTCACAAATTTACCCAAATAGGTGCAACACAGCAGTAAATATACATGGGCAACTTTGCTTGTGGCCTCCCCTCTATCACTGTGCAAATTCTGAAAGGACAAAGGATGTAAATATATATTTGGCAAGCAAGAGAGAGAGCAAATAAGTTTTCCTGACACAGACCAGGAGCTGAGATTTTTCCCTAAAGAAAAGGTATTGAAAGGCATATAGAAAGTAAAGAAAAAGAGTGAGTTTAGCTGCAATATTCTGAACAATTTTGAGAAAAAGATGTAGGACAGGGTTAAGATAGATAAGATGAGGTATCTGACAATTTAAGTGCTTGTTAGGAATGGCGGTGAACCAAATTTCACAGAAATGAAGAACTTTATTTAGGAAAGAATTTGCACAGTAAAATGTTGGAAATAGGTAAGTCCATAC